AGTACGATTTATAAATGTATCGTCATGTCGAATTGAGTCTATCTGGTGGGACTCGAGCGACTCGCATTCACGGTACTTCTACGATATAATTACGTATAATATATAGCTAAGGTAAAATTTATGACACATCAGGATGAGTTTTATAGCTGTTGATTATAAAGAGGCTGATTAAGTTTAGATATTGTTCCAGTGTACTCGATACATTTGATATAACAACAGTTAAAGATATTCGTATAGTAGATACGCGTTATTATTATTATTATTATCATTACACCGTAGTTTTAAGATGAATATATCCAACAATTTTGTCCTGTTTCTTAGGCGCGTTCGACGCGATGCTGACGCCGATGAATAGAGAAAAAACGGAATATTTCTAGAATAGAATAACCCATTATCTATTATGATATAAAATTGGATAATATACGTATCATTGTCATTATGTCAACTATCAATTCTCTATTCCCATCGCTTGTTATGTAGTAATGTTTCAAAGATGACTGTGTAATATTATTGTAATATTATTACAAGGGATTATCGGAGAAACAATGAACTAAAAAGAAAATTTTAATGTTCTACATAAATCGATATGTAGGTCATTGCGGATACAGCAAGAATTTAATTTTGCAAAACCGAACGCGGGCTTGCACAGCCGGTGCTGTTTTATACTTACGTTCTTGGTGAACGGTGACGGCAATAAAAGGAAGCAGTTATGGCCTATACGCGCGTGTAGAGACATAAGGAACCGAATATAACACCTAACTGTACGTTGCACGAGGTGCCGCGAGCCCGCGCGATATAACTTCCGCGTACAGCGCGTTACGAGACGTGGAACCGAACGACATTTATCATTCGAGAGGAAAACTCAAAAAAAAAAAAAACTGTAAAAATATGAAATTTTTTTATACGAATTGTCGACCGGTTCGATAACACTTAACGTGCTTTGTTTCCGAATGCTTTTGTTGATACCCTCTCTAAAACTTTTAGAGTGAATTTCATTCTGAAGAGTAAAATTCTTTTTCAAGATTATTCATAGTCGATTCTTATATTTAAGAATGTTAAGTGCAGTCACGAACCAATCAGATAACCGTATTAGCATTAAGTCTTAACCGTGTTAAGACATTAAGATAGTCTTAGAAATAAGAACGAACTATGAATATCGTAGAGTGAGATTCTATTCCAAAGACTTTAGAGAGCCTGTTTGGTTGAATATCGTTTTCTGTGGCAAACGGAAGTGCTCTGAAAGAGTAACATAACGGCAAGACGGCGAGACGAACGCGAACGAGGCGGATGCTTGAATCTCCTCACAGGCATTTTAAGACAAAGCGAGACCCAATTAGCATAGTGAGATCGTTACGTCTGAACATTGATGTCATCATTATCGCTATATAATTATCATCACGCTATCCGTCGTTACTATTACCGTCACTGCGGCGACGCGGTGACGAAGTAGTGCGCTCTATACTCGATATTCAGTGTCGATACCTACCACACCTTACTGTATATTAACAATGATCTGTGTAAGGAGTTGAAATTCCAGTATAATAAAATCGCTCTTCATATTCTCGTCCTTCCATTCGATACTTCCAATCATTATGCGAGGATGAATCAAGAAATAACAATACGTCTTCGTCTTTTCATTCTTAGCAATAACAAGAAAATAAATCGATATTATTATTTTTTAATTTCCAAATGTATATTCTGATGAATGCTTATTTTATTACTAAACTAAATATGGTATTTTATTTCTTGATTTTTTATTCTCTGAATAAAACGTTCTTTTTTTAGGAACTAAGAATAAAAAATAAGAAACAAAAGTAAAAAGTGAATCAAGTTCTAAGAGTTAACTTAATTTTTCTTAAAAAATTATAATTTAATATATGTGCTAAATTAATATATATAATATTACATATTTTCCTTTCTTTTTAAAATAAGATATATTTAGTTAACGACTATCTATTATACTGAATTCTGAGTTCTTATTGTTTCCTTAGTGATATTAAGAGATAATATGTGATTTCTCTTGGAATATCACATCTATTTCTGTGGATTCGATATGCGCATTTTTTACGAGGGAAAAAGGCCGAATTGGATCATCGATCGACACTTACTTATATAGTAAAAGCTGATCTTCGAACATCCGCCATAATAAGTTTGTCAGAGACGAGCGATCGGATTATTAGAGAACTTGCAAAGATGATATGATATTTATCCTCAGACGCAAATCTATTTATGCATTATTTCATAAATATGTATTGTTTTTGTACCCTCAGGCCGCGTCACGTCTTTACCGTACTTTCAGTTAGATAATAAGCAATTTTCTTGAACCTAATTATCTTCTTCAGGAAAAGTTTGCAGTAGGGAATATTAATTAAGATTATCAAGTACATAATATTTTTTTTATTGTCCTTTTATAACGTACAATCAACAATAGTATTTTTTTCTTTCTTTTTTTTAACCTTCTTTTATGTAACCCATGTGCCAGGAATTAGTTGTTAAAAGGACACGTTAGACGTCTTGTAGGTTAGTATATAAATAACGGTTTACAGTGACAATACAATTAGATAGCTGAGTATTAACAAATTTACAATGTAGAACGTCCGGCCGACATCTCGACAAGACATAATAGATCAATAGTGTATAGTTATATGCGAGGGAGGGAGGGGTAACAACGAAGGTTTTACAGAGTAATTTATAACATTGTTAAGTAGAGAAATAGCCATTACGCACTCGCGAGGAAAATAGATAAGATCGCCACGCGAGTATACATACATTTTACGTATCAATGTTAGGTACATTTTGTTAATACTCCTCGTACACGTTATAAGTACACATCACAGATATGTCGTTGTTCGTAGAACAAAAAAAAAACACAAAAGGAGACAGCAAAATTCGGCGAGAATATACGGGTGTCCCAAGAATTAATGTGCACTCCTAATAAGACTTTATTTTCAAAAGATTCGATATTTATATAATTAATTAAAGGAATTCACGGTGTGATTAATTTGTTTTTTTAAGAGAAAAATAACATTTATTCTCAAAAGATTCCATTCTTTCTTTAAAAAATGTGCTCCAAAATGGTTTTTTACTATAATTTGTAATTATCCACCTTTATAATTAAAGTACTATAAAAGATAGTCGAACTATAATGTTATGTTTTTGTGCAAATTTAAAAAATCTTACCTTTTAAATAACAAAGAACAATTGTGCATACAGATTTTATCTTATTTTTATTTTTATATTTGTAATGAGAATATTGTGAAACTTAATAGTGACAAGATGAAAAATTATGCATTGATAGAAGAATCAAAGGAAAGAATTGAATGATGATTACATCGCTTTCTAAAGAACATAAGAAATTTAATATAGTTTAATTTTTCAATTAAAAGATTAATTTTTTCGAAAAAATGAACCATTATTCCGAATTTAATTCTAAAAGTTAGTGAAGATAATAAAAGTGAGTACCCTATCATTTGTGCGACAACTTTCTTGAAATATCTTGTATACCTTATTGTAGGCATGTAAAAATAATCGAAAGTAAATCGCAGCGCATGTTGCAGATAAGTCAAAAGAATAAACATGGTAAGTAAAACTATAAAAAGTATAGAATAATAGTATAACTGAATTTGTTCGTTTGGCATCGACATGCTGAAATTTAGGAAAATATAAAATAGAGAAACTCCACATTATTTCACACAATTATTCATTATTGGTACGATTGGTACTACTACGTATTCGCAACTCCTCGCGCCGCAATGAATGTGAACGACGAAGGCAAATTGTACGCACCAGCTAACAACCATCTTAATACCATTATAATAAAGATGTATCGCACATCTATACAACTTTGCTGTCTACTAGATAATGGAATATTAATCATGATAACGAACAGGACGTAACGTGGGCGCTCAGGACTGGGCAGTATTTTTTCGTTAATACGTAATCTCGCGTTGATTAACGCGAAATCATGAGGAAATACAAAATATTACTTTATATTTTACATTCTGTAACTTGAATCTTTATATTCTTAATAAAGTCTTATGCTTTATTGTGAAATATAAAATGTTACGAAATAATTAGAAATTTGTATTTTGAATTTTTTGTACCTCTAAAATATATTTTAATAATATTTTACCCAACCCTGGGACAAAGATCGCTGTCGTTAAAATTATCGTCGGGCATTGCCTTTTGCTACAGAGATCATATTTCATAGTTTATAATTAATTATTTCTTTGCAATAATTACATCCTCTTGCAATATTTAGTTTGCAATTAATATACCTTCTGTTTTGGTTTAATTATGCATAAAAGCACACAAATTTTAAATATTTACACTGAAAAAAAATTACTAAATCTTAATAAATATTTCTTTAAACCTGCTATTGTAAGTAAACATTTACTTATAGAAAATATATATTTATTTACTGAAAAATAATGATTACATCAAATGAATATAGTTTTTATATCAAATAAATATATGTTTACATTTCTTTATTAAATATTTATTTAAAATTATTTAAACAAATTTTTATTAAAATTTAGTATTTTTTTCAGTGTATACGAAAACATTCATTATAATTTTATGTCGCAAAAATTTATCTACTGTTCTGGAAATAATTAATGATGAAGCGAAGCTTCTTTTTCTCGATAGAAAAATTAAAAAGTTTTTCTTGTTTTATTAAAACTTTTTAAGCAAAATTGTAATATTTATAACACTTAAAATTACGAATGTTGCATTTACTGATCAATCTTGACCAATACTTACAGAAAAGTGTCAAATATATATGCGTAAGTTATTGCAGTCAACAATTACATTGTCGTTTTTGTGACAAATTGGTCATCCTCATTTTAGCTATTATAACATATATTGGTCACAGCAAGAAGCCGAGAAAGGATTAAGATTGCAGATATTATTTATTAACCAGTTTTTTCTTCTTTTTTTAGGCACCTGAATTTCAATATTCCGGAACGCATATGAGGAGAATATAATTTGTTAGACGACAATCTGTTGAAACGTTACTTTTATTGTAATTCCTAATCCAATCTCCATGCAGCTTAGGGTATGATCGCGAATGTATTCCGACATCTATATGTATATCGCGTGTATGTGTACATATGTATACATAGTCTCCACCCACGTTACGGGTAACAGTCGAACGAAAACGCGCTAGTTGTTTGACTATATTTATATATATGTATATAATTGTTTTATATATGGAATGTGCTTCTCTACCAAACTGCTAAGAGTGCTAATACATAGATTCCACGTCACCGAGTGCATACGTCACACGCCGGCGGACGCGCAGCTAAATTTACAAGTTCTCTCGAAACTGCTCTCGACACAACACGCAAACGTTGTAATAAACGAGTAATAGGTCCGTTAGCGGATTTCGTCTCTAATTTCTCAATACAAATCCCTGAAGATTTACGAGAGAATCATCGCTCGTTTAACGAGAAAAAGAAAAAAAGTCATCCAAATGTCGTGCATTTAATCGGAGGATGCGTAAACGCGTATTGCAGTGTTCTTGCCAGCGAATCCTAAAATTAAATCTCTACAGAACTATGCGAGACCGATTGCACCATTTTGACTAACGCCTTTCAAATATAATAATTTACTTATTTCATGGCAGCGATCGTAATTCTGTACATTTTGGGTTTATCGAGTACTCCTTATTGATCTTCTGAACAGTGAGAATTTAAGTTAACGATTCAATTGCATTTGATATTGCAGATCGACAAATTTTTAATTACGATCAAAGATCACGTTGACCAAGAATAATGCAATTCGGTCTCGAAAGATATGTGGTCATGAAAAATGTGCATTGTTTTCGAGCGCAGTTCGTAGTAAATTTCTGCACATTTTGTACTTGGATCACGAAACGAACAATGGAACTTTGGCGGTCGCTTCGGTATTGATTAATTTTCTGAGGTCTCAGGAATTAACACGTTCTCGTGGTGTGCGCAACGGCGGCGTGCTTTCTCGCAATGCGAGGAACTGTATGGCTCTTAATTACGATTATTATTAATAATCTACTGAACGCAGGGTACGGGAACTTGTCGATAAAATAAATCTAATTTGAAATCCGATTGAATATTTAATAAAATTGACATACGCACGGATATTTAAAGCTGCGTTTCATTATTTACTGTGACTACTGAAAATCTGTAGTATATTTGTGTAACATAAATTATAGATTTTCAATACTCGCAGTGAATAACGGAACGCAGTCTAGAATGCAAGGCAAGTCTGCGCAATTTAACTATTACAAGTCAACTGTTCTCGGAAGTATTCTCACACATTCATAAAATTTGCTTTTTTTTTAATATTTCAAGTGGGAATCTATCTAAGGGAAGATTTAATTAACGAAGAAACAGATTTGAACAATTTAAATATTATGCACGGAAATAAAACGTTTACAATAATTGCGTTTGTCAAGAGACGTCAAAAATATTCTATTGTAGTGCATGATATGGGAATTGTTCAAATCTAAATTCCTGTGCTCAAATCCTTTGTCTCTTCTGTACTTCAATACTCTGTTATCACGCAACTTTCTTCGCGAATTAATCAACTTTTCGCGAACAAATAAACGAATACAGCAGCTTGAGCGGCGTAAGTATATTCGATCTCGTAGTCGAGCCAATGACGACGTGTCCGATTGCATCTCGGGAGATCTTCGTGGCCGCACATTCGGGTTCGTTTGAGAATCATTTAATCGTAATTCTCAGATTCCTGCTGCACCAGTTTGAATCGGCGCGGACTCTTCACGTACATGGAACCATGTGAACCCTCGAGAGAGAGGCGGCCCTTACGCTGAAGGTACGTGGTGATGTAGCGTGCGATCAGCTTCTGCGGTCGCATCTGCCATTCTTCTAACACCTCTTTGGGTGCTAAAACCTTCGCAAATTATAAAGAATAATTAGAAATGATTCTCAATTAATTCAGAAAAATCAAGCATTCAATAACGTGGACTGTTCTAGTTGCATATTGAATTATAGATGACAGTCTTAATGTAACTACTATTTTGTTCATTAATAATTTCGTGCTCGACGAATAATATATAGTATACGTTTACTTCATCGTGAAATTGTTACAGTTTAGCAAAGTGCATATAAATAAGAATGCAAATCAACTCACGAAAGTTCGCTGTTTGTGACGCAAAACTCGTGGGCGACATACATGAGATTCTTCGCGAGCGTACGAGAGCTTACTGTCGAAAATACATAAATTACATATATAATACCTGGTCGCCTTTGAGGCGGTCCAACAGCGTCACGCACACGACAGCGGACTGAATACCGGCGTGATGTGTTAGAGCGGCAAAGCAGAGGCTCTCCATCTCGATGTTCACTACGCCAGCCTTCTGTAGCTTCGTGAGGTATTCCATTTTGTCAGCCTCGGTAAATTCACAGAATGCGCCGTCCAGGCGGCCTTGGCCCTCATAGAAGTCGTTTGAGCACATGGTCTTGCCGATCACGGTGTCGTAGGGATCATCGCGATGGGCCAAACCCTTTAGATCACGAGCCAGTTGTCTGTCGAGTTTGGCTGGTCGGCGTACCAGTTTTCCAAGTACCATCTGCAACACGCTATCGTTTAATACCAAATCGAGGATTAATTTCTATTTAACTGTAATTGGTATTCGCGCGCAAGTCCAGTGTACATATTATTGATTCAACTAAATTAATTGATACATATGTTTTTAATTGATACATATATTTTGTAATGTCAATAAAAATTTTATTAACTTTATTTCAATGTACTAATTTTGTTTTGTGTGTAGCTGTCATTACATCCAAGGAGCTGAAAGTTATCATAATAATGATAATTGTGATTTATTATAATAATTTTTTTTTTTATCATTATTATAACTTTTGGTTACCATGAAGAAAAATACATAAGGAAATGTAGAAATAAAAAGATCCCCGAATGATTGTAAAAAATGTTATACTTTCCTTAAGTAATTTTTAAAAAATTACAAACCAGTCAACCTTATTGACTGGCCTGTATATGTAAATACATCAATAGGAAATTCGACCTATGGGCTTTATTTTCTATTGGTTGTGTACAAACTAATCATTTGGAATTCAATATTTCTGGTATTAATTCTCCCAATTTTTTTATATTGTAAATTATATAATCGTAGAAAACAGCTTGTAAACAACATTTAATTAATTAGAAAAAATAAAGTAATATAATAATATACGAGTAACAATTTAAGCTTTAACTTATCAAATTCTTTTCGCTCTTTTCCTATTTCCTATGGATCTTATAAAACACTAACCAATTCCATATAAGGTTTCATCATTTCATCAAGAGCTTCTTCCGAGATGATTACCGTACCACCTTCATAACCGATACCACCGCAAGTGCCAATCCTGATGAAAATCGGATCCTTTACTTTTGCATGGTACATCAGCTTGATAACTTCATGGAGCAGAATGCTTACAGAAGGTATACCCATTCCATGCTAAACAGATGTAAACATTTTATTTTTAAATAATCATGTTTCCTTTTTTTTTCATTAAATTTAGTAATATCTTTATTATAAATACAACTAAAGAAACCGAAACCGATTATTATTCCGACATATATGTATTGTGCTAAAAAACTTGCACTGTGTGATATCAGATTGGTTCGCTTGTAAGGACCTTGAGATATTTCTGCCGAGATTTTACTAAATAATAATTACTTCCACCAATTAAGTAACATAATTACGCCCCAAACTTTGCTGAGCTCGCTCGACATACCGTGTGTAATTCGTATGAAGCGATGAAAAACGGTTTAATCGTCCAGGCGTATAAACAACGTAGTAAGTAGAGTATAGCGGAGCAAAGCAGGTGTTGAGCGTGATTAGTGTGGAATGTTAGCGGATTTATTTGCCTGCTAGGAATGAATTGTCTCTATCTCACTACGCCGAGAACATATCCAACCTGGAGATTACTAAGGATATTGCAGCATTTTCTTTTTAAAGAAACATTATGCTCTGTTGATAGTTCACTTATTATCACGGTACTTACTATTGCGATCAATTATTGGAATTTGTTTTCTTCTTCGAATTATTCACATTGTTTGTTTTAGTTTTTATTTAATATGTACTTTTAATTTTTTAATATTTTCTATTAAGAAATGAAACATAATGTAATATATTTCATTATTTTATTATTTCATCGAATCTTCAAAAGCTATGAAAATTAAATAATTTTAAAATTAATTTTTTTTTTTAAACATCGATGTTTATGTGCAATTATAAAAATTATTTAATACTATAATTTCCATCTATAGTAATACAAAAAATTATCAATGTATTTAAATTATGCAAAATTAATTACGACTTGAAAGGATAACAACTTTCAAGTGTATCGTAAACGCGCTCGTCTCATTAACGCTGTGTTAAACAGGTACGCACGACTTAATTATGCAAAAGTAAATTTACTCGAAATATGGCTGTATGGAGTTTCCAGTATACAGTCTATTCCACATTCCAATCGTAGTAGCACAGTATAAGGTACTTTAAAGAACCCCTTGGCCGTCTACTTGACCTCCTCGTTTTCTCGATAATTAACGACGAATATAATACTAGTTGAAGGGAAAAATGTTCCACGTTAAGGAAACACGTTTGAAGCATACTTATGAAAGACTTACGCTGATAGAGAGGACCGGGCCGACTTTATACATTGAATAGCGATAGGAATTTTTGGTGATATCGAGGAGGGTCGTGCCTGCTGGTAGCTTGTGACCTATCTCCTGCATGATGTAGTTAGCGAAGTGTTCCATCCTTTTCGGTGTTCCGCCCATGCAGACGAACTGTAACGAGAGAAGTGCGCAATTATATCAATTGATTTGGCACGAAAAGAAGAGAAAATAGGTCAATGGTTAAAATAATAATCTTTAAAATAATAGTTAGAATAATAAGTGGTTCTTAAATAGAGGAACAATACAATCGACAAAGAGAGACAGCAAGGCAAGTTCATCGTTAAAGTGATGTGACCCGAATCTTCAAACGTCCTGATTCATCTTAAATGTCAAAGATCATCGGTTACGATAGTAAAAATAAACGAGCGGTAGCCGATGGTGTAATCGCACGTCATTGAAGTATATTTTGCGATTTATTGATGTTGGCTGACATCACGAGCGTATCGCGTGACATCGATAGCTTCGCGCGGTCATGAGTATGGTGCGTCTTCCCGTTTCTGATCCAGATCGAACGTCAAGTGCAGGAAGCAAGGATGTGTTGACTAATCGATTATTGACAAATGTAATAAATATCCGTCGGGAACGTTATGTGCAATTGCCTCCAATATTAATAAGTGATGTAACATCTTACGTCATACTGTTCTGTTGCTTATGCATGATAAGTTTAAGTGTACACTGTACATATTGAAAAGAAGACAAATTAGAATTATTTTAATAATCAAAATTACGAATACTCAGTAAAAAACGTTTTGTGTTTATATTGAAAACGGTCCATTCAAGTTCTCCTTCAAACTTTGTGTTGAATTTTTAATATATTTAAGTGCTAATTTAATATAATGTGATTATGTTTATTAAACAGATGGGGTTATATTGATGTTTAACATTTTTAGTGCTTGAATGACACAATTTATGAATAAGTGAATAAATAGCACAAAAATAATGTGTTTCAAAACGTAAATTTTATGATAAATATGTGTGAATAAAATATGTATTAATTTAACATATCATAAATGTTAACTTTACAAAAAAAAAAACATGCTTCTATAAACTGTGTCAATATTAACTGTTTATTTTTTAAAAATAATATTTGTGTTACCTTTTTTATCATATTCATTAAGTTAACACATAAATTTGAATGGACTATTTAGGACACGCAAAATGTATTAAATTTAACATAAATTTTTCAACGATATTACTGAAAGTGATCTTCAAAAAGTACAAATCAGAGATAGAAAAATTTATATATTTTTTATTTATGAATTATCTTTCTAATAATTACAAAAGATAAACGTAAGAAAAAATATATGATCCGCTATACAGATATCGCAATATCTCTTACGTTGATGATAATTATTATTTGTATAATTATTGCGTGACTTATGTTTGATCAAAAGAAGCTGCATTTAATATTTACATTTATTATGTCATCGATGTGAGATAACGCAAAGAAGGAAGAAATAATGTTGCCGATTAAAACATAATATGTTAACGAGAAAAAAATTGGTGAAACTATGATAACGACGTAATATGCTTCTGATAATTATTTTGAGTCATTCGAGTTTCATAATATCTAACATAAAAGTACATAGCTCTATTAAATTAAATGTTTTTATATATACATACAATATACATATACGTATATAATATATATAATGTTTACATAAACATTTAATTTCATAGAGCTATGAGTTTATAACATTAATTAACTTATTTTTAATAATAACATATTTGCTTACATATCTTTATCAAAATGTATTTTGCAATATACGAGGATGAACTAACAAAATTAATGTATCTGATACACACGCGCATGTTGCTTTTTGTTGTTACAAGATTACGTTGCGCACGTGTCATTATAGATACTTTATCAGCCAACTATTATTACAATTTACAGATATCTTGGTAAATAACAATGCAACATCAAATCTCCAAAGTGTCATAATACACATCCTGAAGATTTTTTCTCTCTGAACGATGCCATTGATGTCATGAATTTCAAGTAAATTTACTGAAAAAAATTTCGGTCCAACGAATGATCAATCAGTGTTCAATTTAATGTTCAATTAATTTATTAATATAACAACTGGATTCATTAATATAATTATATATTTATTCTTGCAATGAATTCTAGAATAAATATCTTATTGTATTTACGTATAGTTTTGGTTCAGTGTTGAAATAAAATAAACTAAAAATCTGACATTTCGAAGAGAAAAAAATGATTTTTTGTTAAAATATGTGTAATAGTTATATCCATTATATCCATAAAATATCGATGCAACAAAGTTATATATAACGTACCTGTTAGTTGTAATTTTTATCTCAACCATAATATAGCACACGTGTTACATTAAAATTATATTGTGAGAAATTACAACAGTTACGTTATACTTAACTTTGTATTTACTGGGAATATATTAATAATTAAACTTTAAATTAAAAATAAAAGTCTTTTTTATATTAAATTTTAAACGTTTAATAGAAATAAATCTTGTGCATTTAAAAAATTTTTAAAGGCTCTTACTTTAATAAACTTTTAATATCGGGTTTAGTTAGGACATTAATATCACCGAATATCGAAAATTTAAAAAAAAAATTACAAAATGGAGTCCAACTAAAGTAGAAGTGACGTAAAATTGCTCAAAAAATACAATACACAAACAAAGTTTGTTCAACTATTTCAGCGAAGATTCTTTATCTAAATATACTTCAGATCTTGTACAAATATAATAGAAATTTTTTTCGATTTACCTTGACGTCACCAAACATCTCAACCAGATCGTGGGAACCGCTGCCGAGTGCGAGATGGTACAATATGTCTTGATCCATGAGTTCGATATTGGGGTTTCGCAATCGTACAGAGCCATCGCTGTACCTATAAAAGATGAAAAACGAAATATAAGTCATATTTCATGGTAGAGTATCCTAAATATTAAAAACCATTTACGTGGTCATAAACGCAATAAAGTGTTTAATACAATAAATGAATAACTTCACCGCAAAATAGATAACATATATCGCAATACTGCAACCACATCAAAATATTTGATTAACATTTCCGCAATACATGCTATGAATATGATAAATTCCCCTCATTTATGAAACATGTAATTATCCGAGTTTAGAGATAATTAGTATTTAAAATTATTAACTATGATATTTGAATAATAATTAAATTATATATTATTTTATTTTTTTATATTTAGTGTGTATTTAAGCAAAAATATTAATATTTAACTGTATAACATTTTAAAATAATTAAGAAGTCGGAAATTTTTTTGTACAATACATTCCGTATTATACATAACATCTTTACTATTTCTTCGTAATACTATTAAAGATAATGATTAAATCATTAAAGACGATAAATGTCTTCGTATCGAAAATCTCAGCGTTTGCATGGAGATTATCTCTAGATCGCGAGATACAAGCAAACTTCGATTAAATTGCGGTGATGGCCTTTGACATCACGACGTCATGAATTTAATTCTATAGTGAACGATGGGACGAGCAATCGCATCAACGTCGAAAATTGACTTCGTTAATGCACTCGTACGCCTAATCAGTTCCGGCTGCTGACGGATTCGCGCATCGTAATTAAATCATCTCCGTTCAATGGCCGAATATTTATATTTCATTTCTGACGCCCCAGAATGTACAATTTATTTATGTTTTATGTAGAAAAGAAATGCTACCTGTGATGTTTAATAGTTCAATATTTGTGGAAATGATTCGATAAAATGATTCAATGTTTATACTTGGATATATAGATTTAGGAGTAAAAATATGAAAATTGTGGAATATGGATTGTCAGAAACAATATCTATAAAGATATCATATTTCAAATACAGAAATAGGTCAAGATGGAGCTGAACAGAACAGTGAAGTGCTGTTTGCTCGTCTTAAGGCTCGCTAGATTGTTTGCTTTTCCATACTTATACCTGGAAGAGTTTTCTATGGAAGAAAATACCCATCGATAGTTCAGGTTCGCCTATTGTTCCTGGGTGTGTGATATCGCTTGGTAAATGTATACAGTGCACCTCTTTAATCTTTGTTGTTATCGATAGCTTCGATTTATGAACGTGAAATCACTAGCCTTTATTAATCTGTTTAGCTATAACGATCGCTAAATGAATGGACACGTATTGACGAGTTACATTTGTTATACTTCGACATCTGTTACGTATATCTGTGTTCAGAGAAACTAATAAATGCTTACAATTAGCCACAATAGAGTTTTACTCATTATCCTTTAACAATAATAAACGGTAAGGCTGTAAGAATAAATCAAAATACTAAATAAGAAAGAAAAACCAATAAAAGTCAACTAGTAAATTACTAAATACTTGCATGTATTTATATATATATACATATAATTTACTGCGTTTAATATTTTGTAATAATTACTGCACATCAACATCGTTGCTTTTATCAGCTTTTTTCTCTTATTCAATTTTTAATTATTCTTTTGATTTTTATCATATGCTGACTTTTATTGCATGACGTATTTAAATGAGAACGTTCAAATCTTTTTTCGTTTCTTGTGGATAAACAAAGAAAAACCTCCAGAAAGAAATTTATGAAAGATACGTGTTCAATATTCGATGACTTCGATGAGACCTGTATATCGTAGAAAAAGCTATGTTACAGAGTGTTTGATCTTCTCATCAGTATATTCCTCACATCGTGTATACAACTTGTAACACTATCCACGTTGTCCTCCTGAGATATTCTGCATGCATAAGTGAAGATGTTCACCAATTTCCATCTAAATGTCTCACTATGTATGTAAGCTATTCAGAGGTCATTTATGTTTCTTCAAATATGAATTGATGAATATGAAATAATTAGATATTAATTCATATCTTTGTGGAGAAAAATTCTTGACCTTTTTTGATTCTCAACGATATAACAGTCAACGATATAATCCTAATAATCAAGTCTCGGATTACGTTTTTGATCAAGTAAAAGATCAGCTGAAATTATCTCGGAAGTAAGTTCTGATATTGGGATTAAGTTACTTAATAAAGTAAATAAAAGACTTTCAAAACTGATTAAACTTTTAATGGATATTGTGGATGTAGCACGACTTTCTTTTTCAATCAATTTAAATTATGGAATTCAATTTAATTGGAACATAAAGTATTCAGGGTGTATTTTAGATCTAATGTCGTTGATTAGAAAGTTATGATGACAAATAAATATTATCTTTTCTATCTTCGAACGTTGGTGGTCCGAACAAGAAATCGTTTTCCCTATTCGTATTAGATAAAAATCAGAGAAAAGAAACAGGTATATAATCCAATATTTAAGACCATTCACGTCGTTTTATCTATTAATCGCAATAAATTCTTAATTCTTTTTATTTCCTTCGTAATGGAATAAAAATCAAAGAAGAAAGATTCAGACAAGCCCCTAAATCTGTGATCTTTTTTTACTAATCTTAGCTTCAATCATTGCTTTAAAAAACAACTAAATACATTTTAATCTTTGAAGTAACATTAATCTATGAAAAAAATTTTACCATCGGGGAGTACGTGATCCAATCACAAAATTTCTTCAAAGCATCTTCCCTTTTATCCGTTATTACATAAAAATCGGAAAAGAAAATCTGTTATATAAATTGTTATCTACCTAGTTGCATCTTTTTATGTAAGCTGAAACTGCGCCATCCCATTATATTAGTAGATCAAGAGATTCTTTGAATTCTTTATTTCTTTTATTCTTTATCGATAAAAATCAAAGAAAAGAAACCCCTAAGCGGCAAACCTCTAATCAATTACGATTTCATTGATCATAGCCTCAACTATTTGCTGCTTATCAGTATCTCGATTTGATATAATATTTTAATCTTTAAAAAAAAATCTTGTCGTTTTCTACCACCCGTGAGATATCTTTACTCGAGGAAAACTATCCAAGGTTTCTCATTTTGCGTTATCTGTCTTTTGTATGACTTTGCGACGGGCTTTTCATTATTCTCTTCACACGAGCTCGACAGAAACTATGCTCACACGCGAATAATATAGGGAATGTGAAGATATACAGTCTGTTGTCTACACCACGAAGTTGCATTCGCCATATTTCCGTTATTACCATCGCAAGACACAACCATGCATCTTCGTTTCATTGTCAGAATAGTATTATCGTTCAATATATCTCTTCATCGCGTAACTCGTAATAACTTCTTATTTCGCTCATATTGGAGAAAAGAATAATCGAATTTTTTTACTTTTTATATAGTGTATTATACGATGTGAAAAAGAATGTATGTTTTATAGTCTATTAAGAGTTAAAGTCACTCTAGAATTTTCAAAAAAATCATTCTTTTTTGTTTAAATGATGTTCTAAGGTCTTAGAAATAAAGTACAAAAGATCTTCTAGAGAAAAAAAATTTCTAAGTGGTATTTTTGGAAGTTTAAAGCGTCGTACTTTTCGGTAAGATTTGTAACTTTTGCGAAGGGGTTCTTTTGAAAATAATAAAGGCAGTAGTTACGTACGCGTGATCATCTCTAAAATCGGCCAAGAAGGATCAGGAAGAAAAGAACATCAACGAAGGTATTGTATAATGCAGACATCGCAGATTAAAGGTAAACATTTCTATCGCTGATTGTTACATAAAACTTTAAACGCATTTTTTTCGAAATCACATTTTTTGAGCTGGCCGGAAACATAACTCCTACAAATCTTGACCGATATACTTAAAATTGTAGCTTCAAAATTGCACTCTCTAGAGAAAGACGTAGATTTTTTGTAAACTTTTTTTTATATAAACAATTTTTCACCTATTTTTTACTTTTTAAATTTAACATTTACTTCAAATTCGTATCATTTTTTCGAAGAACGATATACTGCAATTTTCGTACGTCTTTCTCTAGTTTATGGAAAGTAGATTAAAAAAATTTTTGATTTTTTGTTCTAGGTTAAAAATTGCTGGAGTTTCGGCCGCAGAACATTGTCCATAAGAAGACGTTACCATTGCAGAGTTGTAGCATCGCTATTTTGTAACAAAATCACTATAAAAAATATTTTTTTACACTTCAATGTATATATAAAGACCTAAAAAATATATTTTTATTTTTTTCATTACATTCCCGAAAAAAATTCATAAAATTAGATTTATTTTTCGTGCTCTAAAGTGGCTTTATCCCTTAAGGATGCTGACCATTATTGACATTATAGTCGTATAAAAATTTTCGAATCTTCTGAACGGAATCAAAAATCTTTTTACAGGATTAAAGTAGATACAAAATTAGGAGATACTACAATGGATTTTTTATAACTAAAATTTAAAAAAGTTAAGTAAATGTCTAACTTTTTTTATTTTAGTATAAAGTCCACTGCGGCACTTCCTAATTTTGAGTCTCTTTAATCCTATAGAAGGATTTTTTATTCCGTTCAGTTAATTCGGAGATTTTTATACGACTCTAATGTCAATAATTTGGTCACTCCAGCATCTCCTTAAGAGATAGTAATGAATATAATTATACATCAGAGTGTTCTGTAGTTCGCCAATTAGTATAACAAAATATAGCAAAAAAAGGCATTAAAAATATTACTTATATAAAAGTATTTGCCATTTGTCGGTCCAAGCATAATTTTTTAAATAAAGATTAAAAATTATGTAATAGATCACACACGGTTAAACGGCCATCTATTCTTAAATTGCCGCACGTTAACAGTGTTAGGTTGACATGTACTGTTCACGTGCGATTCACAGCTGAACAGTCATTTAACCATAATTAATTTAAAACTACCGTAATTAGTCCAAAATTAGCTGTTTAATCATAACTAATTTAAAATTAATTTAAAATTAGTTTTCGACCTTTATGTTTAGAAACTACTTAGATAATAAATGGCAAATACTTTTATAATTTATTTTATCAGAAACTTTCTTGCTATGGTATTTTAATTCATAAATTTTTCGCGGCACTCTGTATATTTCTGTCTCTTTTTCTAGAGTATTGAATAAGTAAATTAATTAAAGGAACATTTAAAGGGAATATACCAGTCGAGAGAAAAATAAAAAATGACTATATTTTAATTCTTAGTGTCAGTAAATAGTCAAATTTTGTAATAAAAAATCATTATTTTGACTTTCATGACGTCAAAATAAAATCAAAATAAAGTTTTTTTCGACTTTCTTTTGACTTGTGGTGTATTCCTTGGATAGTATAATTTAAATAAACTTATGCTATTAGAGTAATAATTTTATTAACGTCATATTATTTACATGCATAATATTATTAAATTAATTGTGCAATAATTTATTTATAATTACGTAAAATGTCAATGTTGACGTGAACTATTACGTATTAATATGAGAATACTTTATAATAAAATTAATATGGCATATAAACGTACAAGAGGAATTATTCCATTTCCAACAATTAATGTATGTAAAAGAAACATATAGAAACGTACCAACGTTTTTGCGCACATAGTCCTTTATTACCAACGTGGCAAATTAATACACGTCAATTTGTTGAAATTAAAAAAATATATTGCAATTATTTCATTTTCTCATGTAAAAAATTTTATATTTGCGATAATATTGTAATAATCTACAGCAGAGAAATTTGTTTTTTTAAATAGAACAGTTTGCAATTTATTTTATATTACTTTCGAAATATAAACGGAATTTATCGTTTGTTTGATATTTACAGTCTATTTTTTTCTAAAACAAAATGTACAGTTATGGCTGAAATTAAACTTGGCGAAAACGAAGTACATTTTTCCGACAAGTCACGAGTCGCTTGTGACAGTATTCACGACCAACTCTGTGAGAAAAATCGATTCTTGCGGTCAGTCGAGTTTGTTTGTTGAGATCCAGCTGCCAGTTCCCCATAAAAAGAAAATGCCTCATCTAACTGCGGTACTACCTGATCTCCGCGTATTCCCGTCTGCCAACTTTACGCAGAACAAACACAATGATCTAACTCCGTATATATCGTAAAATGGAATTCGATTTATTGGAATGAAATGGAAAAACAGTCTTTCAAGCATCAATCTGTTTAGTATTTGTTGTTACACGTTAGTTTTGTAGGTTCTATATTTCGACAAGTTGAAGTTGACAGCGACATATTGGTAAATATTTTTGCTTACGTAAATTTAATTTACTCGATGAAATAAAATGACAATCACAAACACATAAAAGCAACTCATATTTTCAATTGTACTGCTGTTTCTTTTAAATTCAATTTTTAACGATAACATTTTGCGTAAAACAATATTATAGCTTTTAATATTTAGTTTTTTAAATTAATTCTTGTATACGAAAAATCGCTCTTTTGTTAATCGTCGATAACAAATTCATTCACATCATATATATAATTAATTGTAGACAATTTCTAATTAAATTGTGCAAAAAATAGTTAATCCATCAAGTTGAAAAAATACGTATACAATGACTCACAAAACTCAAAACATTGTTATAAAGTGTTTTCGAAAGACTGTTTTCGTCTCGATTGTTTTCCTCAAATCTGTCGTAAGTAATCGTTATGTATATTTGATCGGTTTTGTAAATCACTGTACGTATAATTGAGTTTGTATAAACACAAATAAGTGAAGAAGAAAAAATATGCGGTTTAATAATATTTTGGCATAAATTTTACAATTTCCAGTAGCGGAATTCTCTAAATAACTTATCGATGATTGTCGCTATCATTAATTATAGCGACTGCCGATAGTAGGATAATCCTAAAAGAAAGCTCGGCTCTCATTGGCTGTCGTTAGTTAACGATAACAACAATTATCGAAAAAAACGTTTAAAGAATTCCGTAATAAAATACAAACTGCACGCTCATTATTTTTCGGTCTTGAAATACAGTCCTAAAGTAAATCTAGAATACGTAATATAAATATGTAACATACAATTCTTAATTATAAATTGAATTTATTTAAAATTTCTACTCGGCGAAATAATTAATTTTTGCTCATTTCAGTTTACTATAAAAATTTAAACGAAATCTAAACTTTTTCACTAAGAAAAACGTCTAATTGGATTAATTAGAATTCTGCAGGCTGCAAATGAATGAAACCGAATTTTCTGGTTAAATCCATTACTTCTACTTGAGACGAGCAAAATTCTAATTGATATAATCAGACAATTTAAGCTCGTTTTTAGAGTTCGTCTGATTTGAAACCGATTCTAGAAATGAGCCGAATTGCAGGATGAGACTTTCCAGTTTTCATTGTCTGTAAAAACGCGCCCCTACCTAACCGGATTGACGTATTCTTTGGGTTCCATGACCTTGTCCTTCTCCATAGGTAGCTTTAGCGAGCAAACGTGCTCCTCCGACTCGTCCAGAGTCTTGTTCTGGCAGGCACACGTCGGCATCCTAATTTGTTTTTCAAATCACAAATTGCACCACCTTGAAAATCAGTAGATCGTCGCGGCGGAAGATCTTGCGAAACTGGTCGATTCTGATGTTTGCCTTCGATACTTCCGTAGGTCGCAGTCCGTTAACGTAAACGATATTAGATTGCACGATATATAAGTTGCACGTTTCGTGTCGAGCCGATCGACAATATCAGAAAATAGTTGGCGGCGATTGCGACGGGATCTTTATATGTCACTCGAGACAAGTACCATGCCATGTTCCCACTCCACTACATCGCTGCCATTCGTGGCTGCCAATCGCCGGACACGTTCTCTTCAAACACGGATACAAGCGTAACCGGTCACTGGCTGGTGCAAGTGCAAGTCGCCGACCGCCAATGCAGGCGTCGTGCCAGTTCACACGACTATCGGTAGTAGAATGCATATATAGAGTAGGGATGAGAGCTCTCGATTTTCTGAACGACTCGATTCATTCGCACTCGGTGTGTTTGGTGCTCGCAAGCATCCTTAATCTGTTTTCTATGGCTAAACTTATTGTGCACAATTTTAGGACTTAAAGTGAGATAGGTACACTGTAAAAAATAAATTAATGTCAATTTTAATTTAAAGATGTGGAATAAAAGAACAGATTTCTTGTTGTTTATCAAATGTTAAATAAGGACAAAATCTCATGCTTGCAAGCATGAGATGAGCCATGAGAAGTGGAATGCACCCCGGGTGAAAAAAAAATTAATTTGTCTGGTGCTTGACGGCTCAGATGAGCAGAGTCCGTTTTACCGTTTTTAAAAACAATTTTAAAGATCAGATTTACGCGCACAATTTTCCACTTTCGAATCATGTCCGGACGAGTAAATCTGTAGGAATAAAGTGAAATTTTTAATTAACACACGATTTCAATTTGTTACGAAAATGTGTACAAAACTTTGTTCTATGTTTCATTTACTGCAAAAGCGAGAGGTCAAAAATTTGGACGGTATAAAGCATCTTTGTGCAATTTGAACACATACAGCTATATACCTTATTTTCATTTTAAACTGAATGTCTCGATTAAGCACACTCTATATAGTTAGCTATTTCATTTCATCGATCGACAACAGCCGTTTGCAAGGCTCTTAATGGTCCGCTCCATTAGCCCTTTATACGAATTCATTAGCTATCTCCAATCAATAATAAAACATTACTTCAATATTAGCAAATACTATAAGGTCGAAATTGACATGTGCGTTTGATTTGTAATTTAGAGTAAAGCTTAAACAACGTTTACAATAATATTTTAAGGCGTAAAACTAATTAAGTTTTGAGCTGTAAGCTGTACGAAATTTGTTAATTATATGATGATTTTTCTCTTATTTGATTGTAATTAGTCAATTTTTTAGGTTTTGAAGCTTAAAGGATTTAATTAAGCTTCAGGACTTGAAATCTCATTATAGACGCGCCGCTGTAGACAAACTATACTGAAATTTTATAGACCTCTTTTTTAAAAGTATTTTAAAGTCCAATCGATATTTTGATGTAGAATTTATTTCGATTTAAATAGTATTACGTATCTCTCTTTATACATTTAAGTACAAATCGAAATCTTGAAAAGTACATCCGTGAACTCTAAACTTTGTAGCTGTAAAAGCGTTTATCATTTTAAGGTTGATCTCGGATAGAATTACACTTATCGACTTTTTCGCGTTTCGCAGAAATTTTACAGTGCGAAATAATATAACAGTGCAAAATAAAATTCACTGTTTCGCCAGACCGCGAAATTGGAGTTATTTTTGCACGACTACAAGGGTCACCGGAGACGTTACGTAACCAACCCCTCGATTCACAATTTCACACACCTGCCTGCTCTGAGGAAACATAGTTCGGGTTTCTTTCATTTCCGTTCGTACGACCATTTCTTTCTTACACATGGGCGTATTTCTCCGTGGAAAATCATGGGGAAAAGTTTCATTCACGGAACTTCCCCGAGCAATTCGCTTATAAATTGTTCCAAAGCTTCCCGCGGGATACCGATAAATAAGTGTCATCTCGACGGACCGGCTGCGCGCACGCTTTCTTAATAACGCCCTGGTGAACCACTTTAATTTCCGCCGTGCGTTTCGAACCATTAAACGCGCGAAATTTTATATTGCCGAGATAAAATACATTTCTGTTATCCTTTTATAATGATATTATATAATTAATAAAATTTTTTACTTCTCTTCATGAAAACTATCATAATTTCTCTACTAGAAACGAAGTGTGATGTCACATTAATTTTTCATGATAAATTCTTCGACAAATTTCTTTTCTTTTTTTAATGTAAAATCAGTGGAAAGTTCCAACATTGCAGTGTCCAATAAGTACGAGTATACAGTATATATCTGTTTTCTGGTTGTTTAATTGCGTTCATCATAATATACATGAATCACTTTTATTTCCGGCTTTTATTGTATTTGTATCGCATTACGAAGAGTCACAAACTTCATGTTCTTGGCACTGATAGTATCAGAATCGATGTGATTTCACGTCACGATGTCGAAAAATGCCTGTCTTCCGTACTTTTCAAGGTCAGTCGTCGTTTATTTTGTCGCAATCACGATCACTTTGCACACTAAATCAAAATATTAATATTATACATTGATTTTCACAGTTCACGAGTCATTACTGGTACAAATCATTACAAGCGTAATGAATCGAAGTAACAGACAAGAGTGTTAGTCGCTCGACAATCTTCATACTGCGAAATGATGCTAAATCGTCGCTACTTTTAGACTGGCGATGCCAACCAATGGTGCACTCGCTACGTCAAGTGCATTACTGCATTTAAATCGTTTTTGGCAAGCAGAAACCGTCTTAAAATAGCATAAGCTTAAAATATTCACACATTTAATATTTATACATTTTCGGTACAGTTCAATAAGAAATTAATAGATATAGCTTAACAAACTATTAATAACTTATGGTATAAACGATTAATAGAGATATAGAATTATAATTAACATCTAAAGAAAGTAAAGAAATATCTTACGAGTTAAACTTTTGCAAAAGAGATGTAAGTAGCGAAATCAAAACTTTTAATTAAATCTAACATTTCATTATAATCAAATTATAATATTATATTTTTACTATATTATTTCATTATATTGTATTAGTATATTTTATATACAGGGAGAGACATTTAAAACAGATCACCTGAACTCGCTTCTTTTTAATAATAGAAGAAAAAGTGTCAAACAAAAGTTGCTTGGTTTCGAGGGGCACATAATGTGATGTCAATAATTGTTTTGTAGGTAGAGGCGTAAAAGATAGGCACAGGTCAAATCTGTTTTTTTTAAATGGAATGATATGTTTTTTTACTTACATTCTGATAGAACATTTTAAGACGAATACAATGACCTATAATTGAAGATCATTCAAGATTACGCAAAGTCAATAATGGAAAATAATTGAATGGAAAATAAATTGTTTCAAGGTACTCTTCGAATAATTTCGTGTCTTCTCTGCTCGTTGGTATATACCACTAATCGTTCAAGTGTATCACGGTATGTAAATAAATATTGAATCGCACATAGCATTATCCATATTTACTGATCAGTTTGAATTTATCTATCGATCGAAGTGCAAGTCTTGCGAAATTGCGTTATATGTAAGTGGAAAAGTCGATATGATTTTCTATGGTGACCTATATATTTCGCAAGAAACAATTTATTTTCCATTCAATTATTTTCCATTATTGATCATGCATAACTTTGAATGACCTTCAATTATAGGTCACTATATTCGTCTTAAAATGTTCTATCAAAATGTATATAAAAAACATCATTCCATTTAAAAAAACAGATTTGACCTGTGCCTATTCTTTACGCCTCTACCTACAAAACAATTATTGACATCACAATATGTGCCCCTCGAAACAAAGCAACTTTTGTTTGACACTTTTTTTTTCTATTGTTAAAAACAAGCGAGTTATTCAGGTGACCAGTTTTAAATGCCCCTCCCTGCATATATATATATATATATGTATATGTAAAGAACCCTTCTTCTTCAATTCACTATTTGTTACGAAATTTTCACAGCAATTCATTCTATAGAACAAAGTTTCAGCTTCAAAAATCTGTTTTTTTTTAAATTGCGGTTTGGTGATTTCTAACGGAGTTATAAGCAATCAAAATTACAATGCTCTTTTTCTCTCCTTTACTTAACTCGCAAATAACTCATGAATAAAAAATCATGGGAACATTTAAAAAAAATGATTTTGTAAGGGAAGTTTCAAACTTTCACGATAGGTATAGTAGTTGACAATTTTTGCAAATTCTTTTTGGGTACGTGAAAGACTTACAAAGTGAAAAGAAAATTTTTTAACTTTTTCAGCTTGTAGTTTTTTATATGTAAAAATTGCCAAATTCACAGAAACTCAAAAATATAGTAACCCACCAAAAGTAGAAATTTCAAACTTCAAAACCCTTTTCATAAATTTAAATTTCATTCATTTTTGACGAAGATATTGTAAAATAAAGATCTCTTTACATCTATAGTATGTAAAAAAAGACTCTTTTCCCAACATAAAACAAATTCAATTCAATAAAACACTCGAAAAGAATCTTTAATTGAAAATCTGATTGAAAATAGATAAATCAAAATTTTCTGATTGAATTTATTACAATTCTAATTGACATAACCAGAATTCTGATTGATATGATCAAAGTGTTTTCTGGTTTATTTTTAATAAAAAATTTTTTTGATATTGTTTTCTTTTCTCTTTTTTTAAAATTAAAAATAGATAATGAGCAATAATAACTGCATAAAAATACACTCGTGAAATTTTCTCATTTATATTTACATTTAAATTTATTAGTTGTATTTATATTTACCATCGAGTTATAAATAATAAAGCTTATGTGAATAAAAAGATTCAAAAGGATTTTCTTAACTTTGATCAAAACTAATTCTTTTGAAAGATCGATCAGGCGATATTATGAAATGCACATTTATCGCATATTTGATAAAGACGCGTCGAACCGACATCTATTACGATTATCTAACAGAATAGATTTTTATAATTAATAATAAATCAGTTTTACACGTCTTAATCAATACGTGCTTTTATTTAGTGATACATGTCAACACAAACATCGTTCCGTCTTTCTTGACATTCAACGAGTAAGAAAGATAGAGCGACACTTG